TTTATTTTAATTATGATTCAAAGTCGTCGATCGGAATTGATCGCTCGGTTTGATTTTATTTGGAAGCTTCAGGTAAATAAATTGCTGCAATTTTCCTAATTATAATAACTCTTCAAATTTTCTTTTTTGTAACAAATAATTTGAAATTGCAAAAACTATTTACTTTAAAATTTTAATATGTTATCGAGAAAAATAAAACAACTTATATGACTTCTATTTTACGTATGTATATCTAAAGCTAATCAACAATAATTAGTAAAATATAAATGATATCGTATTAAATTAATCGGTTTGTTATTTCAATTATGATTCATTAAAATTAAAAGTATGAAAATTTCCAGGCATTAGATGAAGGACGAGAAATGGAAAAAAGGCATGCACAAAATCGAGCTGTTTTAGAAAATATTTTACCGGCGCATGTCGCCGAATATTTTCTCAGAGAAAATGAAAGGTTATTTCCATTTTTATTCTTTGTTCAATTTATTATTATTTAAAACGAAAAAAAACCTCACTATTTAATATTTTTACATTTTTAACACTTTTCCTTTATAATGTTTGAAATTTAATTTGCTTCTGATGAAGCCACTATAATAAAAAGCTTGCTAAGAATAATTTTAGAAATATACACTTTTAAAAAAAGAAAAAATGCAATTAATGTTATCTCCATATTGCTTCCTTACTATCCCAATACCACGCTAATAACTAATAATAACTATTAATTAGTTATTGTCATTGCTATTTGATATTTGAATTTAATTTCTAACAGAAATTATTAACTAACGATGTTGTAATTTGATCATTTGTATAGTTTTACAGGACTGAATTATATTCAGAAGCTCGAGATAATGCTGCAATTGTGTTTATTACAATAACTGAATTTGATAAATTTTATATGGAATTAGATGCTAACAATGAGGGTGTTGAATGCTTACGACTTCTCAATGAAATTATCGCTGATTTTGATATGGTAATAACTCTCTTCCCATCCAATATTTTCCACTTATATCAATAAGAATGATTCGAGAAATTGATCATTCATCTGAATAATTCATATTTGTATTCCAAATTCAATGGCAAATGAGGAGGTTAATTGAAATATTTGAACTAGAAATGAAATGGTTAGTTCAGAACAGGAAATTAGCCGTCATTCATATGGACCAAATTTATTTTCCGAATTCAATGCTTTATAAGATTAATTAATATGTGTAATGCTGTAAAGTAAGAATTGCAGATAGGTTAATCGGAATAACAGAATTAGAAATTTTAATAATGAATTTGAAAGGTGATAATTTGTTGAAACGTATTATTTGCTTGTACAATAAACATTTTTGATTTTTGCTAATTCAGCAGTTAAATCTAATGGAAATATCTTTCTATATGTTCCCTCAGTTTCTTCTTTTTATTGTTTTCCGGTTTATGCATAATTATATTAAAAAGATATAATGTATATTATGTGGAATATTCCGGTTTAGAGTTTCTCGGAAACTTTAGACTCCTTTTCCAGTCTATCGTTTTTTTTTTTCATCCCGGAATTCAGTTTTTATCGTTGGATAATGTAATTATGTAAATTATGCAAATTACATGTAGCTACTATAACTAATCTGTGATACTATAATCAGTACTATAACTGTTGGTATTATATTTTAATTATTAAATAAGTTAGAAGAAAAAAACTTAATGTATCTGTAGGATATAGGAAGTAACAGGTATCTAATAAATCTTTTGATAGATTTCATTCCTAAAATTTAACAAAAAATTGAAATTTCAGCAACTCAGTCGTGATGAGTTTAAATGTATTGAAAAGATTAAAACAATCTCGACCACTTATATGGCAGCCTCGGGATTATTTGGTAAAGTGACCGATCATTCGCACGTTGTCGCCATCGTATTATTTGCTATTCGCCTTTTAGCTCTTATACAACATATCAATGAACATTCGTTTAATAATTTTAATCTTAGGATAGGTAATTTGTAATTTAATGTTTTCATTTCTTTTTTTTTTTTGATTTTAACTTTTCTTTATAAACTTTCAATAAGCACAATTTAACAATATCAGGTATTTTTTTTATTTTTTTTCAAAATTTTTGGGATTACACTATTTCTTCTTTTTTGAAATATTATTTGACTCTTTTTGTTTAGTATTAAATAATTTTCAAATTTTTGGCATTAAAATTATTCAAAAAAAAAGCATCTAATACATAATAATGATTATGTAAATTTTATATCCAAATAAGAATGAATAATAGAATTAGACTCTAAAGTGAAATAATCATCCGTGCTGTATGCGATAATCATTTCCTACTATTTGAAGACTATTACCATTATTTGTTAGTAATTAAATTCGAAATTCATCCAATCCATTTTGATACAATTATTCATTATTTTTAATTTCATTTAATTACTTCTTCAAGAAACAAAGATATGAATATTCTTTTTTTTTGTCTTTTTTTCAAGGCATCAATGTTGGTCCGGTAGTAGCAGGAGTTATTGGTGTGAAAAAACCGCATTATGATATTTGGGGTAATTCGGTTAATGTTGCTAGCAGAATGGATAGTTCCGGTGTTGCAGGCAAAATACAAGTAAGCAAAAATTTTAAAAGAATACTATCTTTTTCCTCGTATTTCTTATTTATAAGTTTTTTTTTTTTTTCAAAGTGTAATTTAATGATAGAAGGCTGATTATTGATAAAAAGAAATCATTTGATAAAATGGATAAGATGGATAAAATGAAGCTGTTTCATTTAAAAATTAAATCATAGTTAGTTAGATGGTGTTAAAGGATGATTAGGATTGAAAAAGCTTCAAAGTGAATTGAATGTACCTAATTTAAAAGTATCTGTTTAAAATGATAATTAAACAACTATTTGATAATTTGCATCTCATTCATAGTTAATTACTGTTTATGTATACTTCGTAACACTTCTGACACGTAAAATATTCTTTGAATACATTGGAGGTGGAGAAATATGACACGGAATAGTACGTGTAATAAATTGACGCATAAAATAGAATACACGTATAATTCTCGCATTTCTAATTTTGTAATTAATTTTGAATAAATCATTACCACTATCCTTTCTTTATTCCAATTCATTTTTATAAATTTTTTAAAATTTTTAAAATTTTGTATGATTTGTTTTTAATTTCTAAAAGTTTTGTAAGTGTTTTTTGAACTTTGAAAATTTCACTGAATTTCAGATAACAGAAGAAACGAAAAATATCTTAGAAAAAGAAGGCTTTGAATTTGAATGCCGTGGCATAATTAATGTAAAAGGTAAAGGTGATATGAAGACGTATTTCATCAAAGTATCCGAGGAGGATTTAAATCTTAATTTCAATAAGATTTGAAATTTCAATTTGACTGTAAATCCTGTTTGGATTTGAATTTCAATACTATTATTATTTCATCAATTTCAGTACAATTATTATGTATTAAGAATGCACT